GGTTCCAAACATCTTCCACTTATGGATGATGGAGGCCAGTGTGCTCATTGGAACTTTCAGAGCAGTAGATTTTTTTCTGTAACCATCTTCAGCCTTGTGCCTAGAGGCAATCCTATTTCAGAGGTCTACAGACAATTCCTTTGCCTTCATGCTTGGTTTGTACTTTGACATGCACTCTTACTGGGACCTTATGTAGACAGGTGTATGCCTTTTCAAATCCTTCCAGTTAACTGAATTTACCACAGGAGAACTCCAATTAAGCTGTTAAAACAGCTCAGGAATGATCAGTGGAAACAATGTACCCGCGCTCAATGTAAAGCTTCATGTTATTTACATGTGATTTTTCAGGTTTTTTCTTTTCATTATATTTGCAACAATTAAATGCTTTTTTTTTATTCACATTGTCAATATGGGGTATTGTGTAGAAATTTTGAGGAAATAAATTAATTTAATCCATTTTGGAACAAGGCTGTAACATTAAATAAATGTGGAAAGTGAAGGGATATGAAAACTTTCCGGATGTACTGTATATAATATGCTAAAAACAGCATGTGAGCTGAGTAGTAGGGATGTCCCGATCCGATATTGATATCAGAAATTGGTTCGATATCAGTCCAAAAAACTATATCGAACTGCGTTCAAAATCTCCGATATAAACAGTCTGATTCGCTCTAAACTCCGTTAAAGCTATTCTATCCAGCAGCGTCCAGAGTCAGTGTGCAAAGCCCACGTGATCACAACACTGCTTGCTAGCAAAGTCTCTTAGATTTAACATGCTCTTCACACTAAGTTATGGTTTATTACGATAAAAACCTATTGTAATGGTAGCACGCGCTGACAACAACGGCACATCTCTAACGTTACTGGTTTAATTACTTCACGTCCAGCGGTCTTTACATTGTTTTGTGTACGCTGCTAAGTAACGCAAGGCACCGAATAACGACGTACCGCACATCGTTTGAGCCTCATTTAAAACGTTTACGTTACAATTCGGTCATGGCATTTCGTGGTTCATTTAGTGTGATACCCAATTCAACACCAGCGCTTCACACACATAAGACTTTACCCCAGTGGCCCGGTTCTGTGTGCCTGAGAAACACTACAGACTCGGATGCTCTGCTGCCCACAAAGATGCGCTGGGCACAAAACTATCTGTTCTGACTTTGGTAATAGCTTTGGGAGGAGCGTGAGGACACGCGGAAAGAAAAGCGTTTTACTAAATAGACTGGTGCAGCTCATAATTTAGGGTGACAATACATCCTTTTTTTCCCGGACATGTCCTCTATTTGGGTCTTAAAAAATTCATTCAGCCAGGGTTTCTAAGTCGCCTAACATGTCCCGAATACTGCTTTCGTTTTCTATAGCTGTCATGTAAAAGGTGTTAAAAGCTAAAAACTTTTGTTGTTTTAATTGTCTGTTAAATAAGAAAAAGAAATCATTATATTGCTGAGGGCCATGACAGTTTAAAAGAAAAAATGGTATTAATTGGAAAATACTTTTAACATTATTTGAAAAATTTAAGTAGAGGCATTCCCATATTTAACTCTTCTTTAAAAAGCCCAGAAAGATTAAGTGCTCTGATAAACAGTGTCAGCTTTGCACATGAGTCTGCAGTTCTGTTTTTATTTACATTGTTGTATTTTTCCCATGTGGGCAGTATAGGGTGGAAGCTGTGCAATATATTATGCAAGTAAAATTAATTTTGATAAATAAAATTATTCTTAAAAGTCACATTATTTTATGTACTGTGGAGAAAAGGTGTGTTTCAATTCAGCTAGTATATTTATGTTAAAGATAATATGTGCAATATATATTTTTATAAAATTAATAATGTTTTGTTTGGGAGCATTGATACAGCCATAATCTTCTTACGATACAAACACAGATTAAATAGATCTGATCATGTAAATGCTTGTACTAACCATACTGCACATTTTTATTAACTTATAATAACTCATAACAATAACTCCTTATTTCTGCTGCCCATTGTGACAGATATTTTACAGCTCAAAACTGGATCAAAAATTCATCAAGTAGCTGAGTGTAAAATTGAAACTTTGGGCACTCAACCTTTAGCAATTGCTCAATTAACAATACATGTTTTTTCTTATGTTCCTGCTCTCAGCTGTTACTACCATTTGCTGATGGTATAACATAAATAACTAAAGTGACCTTTAATTAGTATTTTGCACTTTAAAAAATATATTTTTGTTTATTCAATTATAATATTTTTTAGGGTCTTGATATTTATTCTTTAATTCTTTTTTATATATTCTAATGTAAAAGGTTCATATTTAGTTTGAACTATAGCCATACATTCCACTCAAAAAAATAGGTAAAAGTAAAGTATTCATGATTTGTGCTGATATTGGATTTGCATTGGTATCGGTTCCTACTGAAGGCTGCAATATCGATATCGTATCGGAAGTTAAAATGTTGTATCGGTACATCCCTACTGAGTAGTGTGTCCGAATTCATAAAATTTAGAAAACAGTATGCAAGAAGTAGCCGGCTGACCTACTTGGAAATCTGGATTACTATAAAAGCCTCCTTTTTTCTCTAAATTTTGGTTTGGAATTCAGTTATTTGCATGGAATTGTGAGATTGTCACATGTTTGACTTAATTTTCTTTTCTTTTCACTTATTTCTTTATTTCACATTATACATTTACGTACAAACTACTTTTTTTCTATAAAAAAACAATATATATATATAATGTGCACCTTCTAAGAAAATGTTTTAAGTCACACATGGTTTCTTTAAGCAGCATTTGTGCACTGCGGTTTTAGCAGGAGACGCAGCAGCACAGTGAAGATACAATGTTATCAAATGTGCTCAGCCAAGGCCTTTCTGGCATTTCCTTTCCTTCGTCTTTATCCATTGAGGATGACTGCTAGCAAAGTGCTGAAACCGTGGCTTCGAGCGCAGCTTCCAATGACAGAGGAAGTTCATAGACATTTGTGCACAGACAGCTCTTGTTCATTGCCTTTAGTTTAGCAAGATCAGAGGCCTGAGGCGAGATGATAAAACACACTGACACACAATGACAGGATCTGTCTGTGTTTCTCGCAGCACTATGGACCAATGTGTGCTGATGATAGGTTTTGGAGCACACAATAACTATGGAAAGGTCATCCACTCTCGCTTGGTATTTGAATTCTAAACAATTGATAGCACACAAAGTTGCAGATAAGTGCATGCGAGCGGAAAAAAATGAACGTTTTGTAGGTTTATAATGCTGAGTGTATAGTTATCTTATTATATGGATGATGACCAGGTCTTGAAAAAAAAAACAACAACAAAAAAAACATTATATATATTCACTTCTTTGTGAGAAAATGCAGCGTGTTTTATTCATTTGGTTGCAGTGTTTAAAAATGCAGCAACTTTTGTTATGTGTATGCGTTGTGAGGAGTTGCAACGTGTGCTGTCAAACAGACAAAGATTTTTTTCTTATTTTGCTGGTGTTTTTTTAGGAGTTGCATGTGTTTCTCTCGGCCACCTTACTATACACTGTGCACTCACTGTACACTCAACCGTTTAGTGTAAGAATTTAGTCTAAATAGAAAACTAAAATTTTGTATGTAATAACTGGAAGTCAAAGGGCAAAAGATGTTTAATGGTCATCACACAAAGTCAAACTAGTGAAATAAATTCCCAAACTGCCAAATAGTAAAAAAAATATATAATTTTGATTAAAATATTTATAAATTTAACAGTCTAGTCAGTGTCTGATAGCTGCTTTCCTTTTAATATGTAAGCAAAGCTACATAAACAAAGCTATGTAAGCAAAGCATCAATTATTGTATATATAAGTCTTTAATTAAATTAATTCCATGCTTTTTTTATCGGTCGAATGAGTTCATGTTTAAAAGAACACTTTTTTTTAGACAATTTTTGTGTGTATATCTGTATATGTATATGTATATATGTATATGTATGTCTTGTGTGGTTGCCACTTTATTACCGGCCTAGTTATGAAATTAATATTAAATTGAAGAGGGATCAAATTAAAATTATTGATCATCAAAATTAACAAATGTTATTGTTAAATATTTTTTAACTACTTGTACATGCCTATAAACACAGTTTTCACTGATAATGGTACTTGTTATAATAATAATAATGCAAAAAACAAAATAAAAATAGCTGCTCTTTTAACCATTTTAGGTCTTCTGATTACAGTTATCATGCAAATAACCCACCAAAACACAAATGTTTTTATTTGTTTTGGTTGTAATGCCAGTGTATTTTGTGCATTTGTATCCACTGGAAAATTAGTGACCAGTATAAAATTCTAAATATCAGCTAATAATGACACAATTTTAAAATTTTATTTATTAGAAAGAAGAATTCTTGTTGTCACAATGATTCTCGAGAAATATTTTTAAAATAACAAAACCTTGCTGACCTTAAAATGTTTACTCTGGTACATATAACAAGGGTTAATTTAGTTAGCAGTCCCCAAATGAGGCCTGTTTCCTGTGCTGGGTGTTTGGGGAGGAAGAACTGGCCAATTCACAGATGTGTTTAATAGCTTATTTCAGAGTTAGAAGCCCAAGCTACAGTCTGCCATTGTCCTTGTTTGTGTTTATGCAGGCTCCTGTTTACTTGGCCTTTCCTGGTGTACATTATGAGGTAACATGCTAATAAAACAGGGCCAGATGGAAATTGCATGACACTACTTTAAGCCTGTGAAACATATCACTAGATTCTGAATTTCTGTTGAGTTAAACGATTGTTGCGTCTATAATACGCTTTTATTAGGCATTTCCATGGAGGTATCATGCATTTTAAATGATCTCATGCACTGTGACAGAAGATATGTCAACAGTTTATTTCAAAATAATGATTCAATTATTTTTCCTGTGGCTATAAATCAATTGACTTCAATGCATGTGGGTGGCTACTTTGTGTGGCAGTAAAATTAAATTATTATTATTCCATTAATTATGCAAAACATGTTATGACAAACCGCTTTTTGTATCTTTATTTTTCAGAAACAGACCTTTCAGGATGGATGATAGACAATGCTACTACAACGAAACCATAGCCTTTTTTTACAATCGTAGTCAGAAGTATCTGGCCACAGAATGGAACGCTGTAAGCAAGCTAGTCATGGGACTTGGGATTACAGTATGCATTTTCATAATGCTAGCAAACCTGCTGGTGATGGTGGCCATCTACATCAACCGCCGCTTTCACTTTCCAATCTACTATCTAATGGCTAACCTAGCAGCCGCGGACTTCTTTGCAGGACTTGCCTATTTCTACTTGATGTTTAACACGGGGCCCAATACAAGAAGGCTAACGGTTAGCACGTGGTTGCTTCGACAAGGCCTCATCGATACAAGCCTTACAGCCTCAGTTGCTAACTTGCTAGCTATAGCCATTGAGCGCCACATAACTGTGTTCCGCATGCAGCTCCATACCCGCATGAGCAATCGGAGGGTAGTTGTGGTTATAGTCATCATCTGGACCATGTCTATCGTCATGGGGGCTATTCCTAGCGTGGGCTGGAACTGCATCTGCGCCATAGACACTTGTTCCAATATGGCCCCACTCTACAGCAACTCGTACCTGGGCTTCTGGGCAATCTTTAACCTGGTGACCTTCGTGGTGATGGTCGTACTTTATGCACACATATTTATGTATGTGCGTCAGCGGACCATGAGGATGTCCCGGCACAGCTCGGGTCAACGGCGTAACAGGGATACTATGATGAGCTTGCTGAAAACTGTCGTGATTGTATTGGGTAAGTGCTCCAATAATTTTTGTATTTTTATCATTAATCCTTTAGGCTCTGCATGCTTCAAGACTATTATCTGGAAGTTTGTAGTTAACTTGAACAAATGCTGATGTAAGTTTCAGAATAAGCTGGGGTCATACTTTATTTTGATGGTCCGTTTGTTGCATTGCATCTACATGTCAACTAATTTTCATTAGATTATAAGTAAACTGTTAGGTTAGGGTTAGGGTTTAGTGTACGTTGACATGTACTTGCAAAGTTTCTTCTAGTCAGTTAATGTCTGTTGAAGGAGCAGTATCAACAGATATTAAGCTGACAGTCCACTAATACTCAAATGGATCATCAAAATAAAGTGTCACCTTAGCTGGTTCAAATGTGTTTGATTATCATTAGAGAAAAAAAAAAAAACAGACTTGTAGGATAGTGGACCTTTGAGTGCAGAATTCAGTTTAAGTTAAACATGTGTTCCAACAGAATTAACACAACATTTCTAGTAATACTATAATTCTACAGTATAAACGAACTTTATAGCAAATGTTTGCATTTTTTTAAATCCCCTTGAGTATTACGGTACTATTTTTAAAGGGCCATGAAACCCCCTCGTTTCAGCAGGGTGTTTTCACACCTCTACTTTGGAAAAAATCAGAAAAGTGGGCGTGTCCAGCTCTGTTTAGGGGGGAGTGTCGGAGGAAGAAAAGAGGCTTGGTGTGGGAGTGTCTATTTGGGCACGCGTGAGTTTCAGAGTCAAAATACACACCCACATCGGACAATGTGACTGTGTTTACATGGACATCTGTAGTCGAATTATTTGCCAAATTATTAAATGGTGGACTTTACTGCAGTTTGGCTCTTTCATTTAGGGAATTCACTCATGTCTCTTGCGACAAACGCGATATTTGATTCGAGGAACTGCTCTAAGCGTGTATTTTCATGCATGTTTGATACCGCATGGCGAATGAGAGAAAAAAAAACTCAGCAATTCCCGGAAACTTAGATGCACTCGGCAGGTAGCGTCAGAAAGCCGCGTGTGTTATTAAGGTCACAAAATCCTACACAAGGTTATAGTTTGGTTGTAGTGCTAACTTGTTTACACTCGGTGCAATAGTTTTTTCGATACGAATAACATACGAACTGAATAAACAAAGAGCACTGGTCGCTCACTTACCAAATCTGTAGAGGCAGGACAATCCACAGCAACTAGAGCCGCATCTTTTATTAAGAGTAGACTACAAGCGAATCCGGATCTCAGCGTTTGCAGATGAGAACAGCTCTCAGGTAAACAATAATCCCCCTTAGACACGTAAGTTATTGTTGTTGCGCGTCGCGTACACTGTTAATCCACACGTGACGCCAGATGCGCTCTCAAAGAGAGAAAATGAAAACAAAACTTAACGGCAGCAAACTATAAAAGCAACACTTCACGCTTGTTTTGCCAACACAACGTGGCGTCTTTGTCCTCTAAACACTGTGACAGTAATGAATATTAATGAAGTTGCACAATAGAGCGCGCTGATTGGTTTGAACCAAGCTTTACTCGTGCAATAATGCATCACACTGTAAGACGTAATAAGACACACTCTGGCACAGACGTCCAGTCTGCATGCTGGAATACAACGCTATTATGTCATGACCGTGACGCAGCTTCAAAAATTCGTTTCAAACCGGAAGTACAAATTTGCTTAAAATAACGCAAAAACAACCATTTATTGAAATATAGGTGTCCTAATAGTGTTTTTAGCAGTGTGGGACACATATACGACTGTCAACAGCTCAAAAAATGTGTTTTGGGGTTTCGTGACCCTTTAAATCCATTCATCTGATCTTTGGGACTGGCGGGAACACTTTGAGCTTAGCTTAATATAGATGATTAGATTAGACCATTGAAACCTTTCACAAAAAATGGTTTTGCTGTTTAAAGCTTGCTTCTTTTATTGTTACATGTGTTACATCTTTTTGATGCTATTATTAATATTTTATTAATATTTCAGTATTTAATATTTTATTAATGTTTTTTCTATTATTAATATGATAGCTTTAATGTGTTACAAATGTATGGAGAAAGAATAGCTGAACACCAAATACCATTATTAATTATACCATGATTATTTATTGGCCATACTACCAGTGAAGGATGGTACAGTGGCACAGTGGGTTGCACTGTCGCCTCACAGCAAGAAGGTTGCTGGTTCAAGCCTCTGCTGGGTGATTTGGCATTTCTGTGTGAAGTTTGCATGTTCTCCCTGTGCTCTTGTGGGTTCACAGTCACAGTCCAAAGACATGCACTGTAGCTGAATTTGGTAAGCTAAAATTGTCCGTAGTTTATGTGTGTGAATGACTGTGTATGGATGTTTCCCAGTAATGGGTTGCAGCTGGAAGAGCATCTGCTGCATAAAACAAATGCTGGATAAGTTGGTGGTTCATTCCACTGTGGCGACTCCTGATTAATAAAGGAACTACGCCAAAAAGAAAATAAATGAACTACCAATGACAAACAAGTGAAAATATTTGTACAGTGAAAGAATACATTTACAATGTAAAAATAATGAACCTGAAGGAGAAGAGAAAGTTAAAGGTGCTTGAATAAAAGAAAGAAATGTAACAAAACTTGTATTGAACAAACTTAATGTACACAAAACATCACACTCTCCTGAAACTAATGAAATAGTAAGAAAGTTAACCTAGGGGTTGTAAATGTACTGTATATCCTACACCTTACTTCTATAACCTCTTTGAGGTATTACTCAACAGTATCAGTTAACTGGGAGAGTTCACAAACAAACACATTTCAATCTCAAATAGATTTTAGACAAGACTTTTGATCACAAAAAAATTAAATAAAATAAAACCAGAATTTAGTTTAGCCTAATAAAATAAGTAGCCATTATAAAGAATCTGAATCAAGTGATCAGATTTCATTAACCTTTTCTTTACTGTATAACTTAAACATTCTGATTAAAAAGCAGCAAATGAATCTCATTTAGATTTTTTGTTTGATTACATTACATAACAGAGGTGTACCTTAAAAAAATGCACAGATCTATGTCAAAAGCATTAGAATGTTTTCCTAACTGTTTATGCTCACTTATAACAAAATTTGTTGTGTTTAAAATAGCACCCACCAAGATTGACATGTTTGGATGTTATTTTGTGTAAATGCCTTTTCAAACACGCACCCAAAACCCAAAGTGTCCACTTTCGCTCCGGTTCAAATCACATGTACAGAATCTATTTGGGGAGCAGCATCTATTTATCGTGATGTAGTTCATCTGACAGTCACTACATGAACTGACTGTTTCGATTATTGCATAGAAGCAGCAACCACTTGTAATGGAAAGGAAGGGTATATCACCATTTTACATTTATTTTCAAGGTGTTTTCATGACTAAATAAAATGAAAGCACAGATTCAGAGATAAGAGCAAGGGGCATTCCCTGGTGGTTCGGTGGTATAGGTTGCATAGAGAGAGGATCGGCTTTATAATGTTTATTGTCACTCTTCATGGAAAGATTAAAAATACAGGAAAATACCTTTATGGGATGATAGTGGGATAGAATTGTAAAATACAGGAGAATCCCTGGAAAATCAGGAGGGTTGACAGGTATGGACTAGTCTAGAAATGCACCTATACCATTTTTTTGGAAACGATCCGATCCTGATACCAAAGTTCTGAGTATCGATCGATACAGATCCGATCCTAAACCGTTTTTTTTTTTTTTTTTCTCAATCTTAAAACAGTTTCTATAGTTCTGGTGATCAAATAATATATCTTTTTTAGTAAAAATAAAAGACCTGTAAGCCGACTGTATATGATAGATGGCACAATCTAACTAAAAGCATGATGCTTGCTATAAACTATAGGCTACATTATTTGATTATTATTTGTTATGACATCAATATGATCTGTTGTGGTCCAGTTTATGTTTTCTTTTTTTAATATTAGGATTTTTCTTTGACATTTGTACTAGGCTACCACTATTGACCCTGATCGTTGGTAAAATAACCTGCCTTTTAGCGAAGCGTGATATTTTCCTGCAAGTTTTATGCAGACTAAACTTAACCGTCTGAGGCCAGTTTTACTTAATAAACATTCCCTCGCTTAAACTTGATGTGAGTGCGATGGAGAAACAAAGCATGTCTGACTCTGAACAATTATTTTTGTTTGAAAAATTATCTTTTGAAACTAATTTCATTTGGTATAATTTGTTGTTTTTTTTTAAGTGTTTTTTGTTGGTCATCTATCCACAAAATAAACAAGAATATATGATGTAAAGTTCTTTTCAAAACAAGGTCGGCTTTTATGCTTCAGCGCACAAACTGACAAAAAGATCTGTTAAATAAAATATTTATATAAATAAAATTATAGTTTCAGAGTAGCCTATATTAGGCTAAATACATTTCTGTTATTGACAATTCTTATGCACTGGGCCGTCAGCTTCACTTTTATTAATTTAATGAACTACTTTTGACTACAAGGAGCCAGGCTTTACAAACTATTAGCAGCACACAACGTATTCACCTCGAAAGAATAAACTCAGTCACAACAGCAGCACAAAGGGAAGAAATCAGTGCATTAAGGATCTGTCCAATGCATTATTGAGCCTTTTCTAATTGAAACTTTCAGGTAGGCCTACTTTGTGTGTAAAAAGCAGGTAATAACCCTCTCTACTCCAGTATTGCGAATGCGATCTGCTGGTCAAAACAGACACAGCACAACATGATGTAGAACCAGCAATAAATTCCATGTTACGGGTCAAAATTAAAATTGCATTTCTCCACTAATTATTAAAATTAACAGGCACAAATAGTCTTGGGGAGTTTTTCGTGTTGTCATGAACGCAACCTGCAGTTTGAATTGTGAATGAATGATGAATGATTGACAGGGAAGCGCTGAACTGAACATGAATTTAACCACGTAAATATTCATCTGTACTTCACATTAAACTATAGAATGGCTTCAGAACATACAAACAGAAGCGCACACACACAACCCCTAAGTACGTTCTGCA